TTATAAAATTTTCTCACACAATAATCGATTCCTCATAAACTTCTTTATGGAGCTTTGCATTTTCAAAAATTATAATTTAACCGAAAATCAAAACTAAAATCAATAATGTGGACTTATTAAAAATGATGAAGGTATGTACAGATAGGGAACATGAGGATTTTTATTCTGAAACTTTGAAGTTTTTGACAACATTCAAAAATTCCCGGAAAAAAGGATTTTTGAAAAGAAAACTTTTTTTTTCAAGGTTAAGAATTAGGAACTCCACAGTGGCCCCTATAGGGGTGTTATTGAAGTGGTTCCTAAAGGGGTTTAGAGTCCGAATCTAAGTGGTCCCTATAGGGGTCTTAAAATTCTTTGTTCAATTTTTAAAATTGAAAAATTCTTCACAAACTTGGTCAATTTATATTCTTTTAACATTTTTTCATCGAAAATGCTAATTTTTGTTTTTCGCATAGAAATGATGCTTCAAATATAATTCATAACAAAAAAAGGAATAAAATGCCCCTATAGGGACCACTAACTGAAACCCTTTATAAGAACCATTTTTGCAAGATTTAGTGGCCGCGATAGGTGTTTAGAGAGGACCCTTCAAGAACCCCTAAAGCTGCCCCTATAGGGACCACTCCTAAAAAGGAAAAAGTAGAGTAGCTGGGAGCTGAACCGAAGAATGCCGAGGCGCGAAAAGGAGGTCAGGCAAAGGCAGAAGCCGTGCCATTCCCGCCCTCCAAGCCAACCGGTCCCCCTGTTTCTCCGACGCCCCCCAAAGTGTACACTTTATCAGTTATCGTTTTTTTTCTGCCAATGCCGGTTCGTTGATCTCGGAATGGGTTATGTGTAATATGCGGCATTGAATATGGTTCATTCATGGTCGGCTTGAAAAGATGGGATTTCACTCAAGATGAACAACCAAAATCAATCTCAGGAACTTCAGAGAGGCCCCTTTAGGGGTTAGGGGGAAAAACAGCAAAAATTAATCTCAGGAACTTCAGAGTGGTCCCTATAGGGCTAGGAGGAAAAAAACAGCCAAAAAAATCTCAGGAGCTTCAGAGTGGCCCCTATAGGGGTTTAGAAAAAAAAACAGCCCCCGAATCGTGTTTTTCTACTTCTTATAGGTTAATACCAATAAATGGTAGCAAGCTTCCCTATAGGAGCCACTTTTTCAAGTTTTAGTGGCCCCTATAGGGAGGTGATGCAGTCCCAGGAGGGAACCTACAAAGGTCCCTATAGGGACCACTCTGGCGAGACTTTCAGATGAAACTAGATTCATAAGATGTCGTTTTTCACTCTGATTTCAAAGTTTAGCTTGAAAATCACTCTCAAGAGCTGTGAGAAAAATTATTGGAGGCTCAAAGTCAAGTTTATTAGTTGGGGAGAAACCTTAGAAAGTTCAAAACTTGATTTCTAACCCTTATGAGCAAGTGAAACTTCAGAAAACGAATAAAAACTAAAAAACTGAATCAAAAAGCATTTCCTTATTTCCTTCGTTGATCGCAACACTTTTTTTCTAGTTGGGGAACATATTTGGTCGGCATTTTTTGGCTAATTGACCCACCACAGAACATTCGACAAATCGTCGAAAATTAGAGAAACATCACGTTTTTCGCTTTTTTTTTTTCAAGAAAAATGTATTTTTTGTGTAATTTCGATTCTTGAAGAGGCACTTGTGAACTGCATAAGGAACCGTTTCGGCCACTTGACTTTTTTTTTCTTTTTCAAACTTTAAACTATTAAAAATGGCAAGGAAAAAGAAAATTCGACTTTAAAAAAAATTTTCAAAAATTCCCCTTATCTTGCTGAACCGGCTTTCATCATAAAATATCAAATCGAATGTTCTATGGTGAATAAATTAGCCCCAAAGGTGTTCAAAAAATGTTGCGATCAACGGGGAAAATAAGGAAGTTTTTTCGATTTCTTATGTTTCATTTGTTAAGAACCAGTTTTTTTAAGAAACTATTGGGAAATTCTCTCAATAAACTCTTCAAGATGAGTTGAGAGTCTCTAAAAACACATAGACATAGAAGAAAAAAAAATGTTTTTTTTTCATGGAAATTGGAAATTCTCTCCTTATGGAAATTCTTCTAAAAAGGACTGTAAATTCTTCTAAAAAGGTTCTCAAGGTTTGAGGAAAAAGATGTCTCAAAAGAAAAATCTTAAAAGCTGATTCCTGAATGAATAAAACTCAACTTGACAATACACATAAGTTGAAAATCCGAAGAAAGCTCAAAACTCGGCGAAAAAACCTTTTAGAAGGAAATCATCTGTTTGATGAAGTTTTCGCCTGAAAGACAAGTTCAAGAAAAATTAAAGTGTTTTTCGATTTTTCTAACGAAAACTTCCCAAAAACCAGACGTTTGAGATGGTAAAAAGTACTGAAACCCAGGAAAAATGTTTCTAGAAGCCCTCTCCGAAAATTATCATATTACAAAAAGTTCTAACTATTTTTGGAGGTCCTTCAGGCTTGACAAAAGCTCAAATGTGGAATAAAAATCTTCAAAACTAGAAAAATCGAAGTAGAAGGATATTGAACATAATGAGAAATAGGTGAAAACAGCTCAAAGTTCAAAATCAGAAAGTTCTTGGGACATGAAAAACTGCTTTAGAAGCGTTTTTCAAGGTTTCAAAGGTTCAGGAAGGAACTGAAAACTTAAAAAATTATCTGAAAATCCAAGAAACTCAAATTGAAAGGTATTCTGAATCAGCTAATCAAACGTTGGCAACAACAAGAAGTTGAAAAATTCGAAAAATAAAAAAAAATCTTTTGTCGACTTTTTTAGATGCTCTACAGGCTTAAGAGAAGCTGAAACCCAATAAAAAACTTCGGAAGTTCAGAAAACTCAAGGTAGAAGTAATTTCAAACGAGGAGACCGTTTTTAAGGCTTAGAGGAAGCTAAATACTTGGAGAATACCTAAAAACTAGGTAAGTGAAAAGTGAAAGGTATTCCCAACCGAAACTTGACAGCAACCAAAGGTTGAGCAATCCAAAAAAAGAGGGAACCAAACCATTTTCCACCGTAAACAACGAGAAGAACGTGGACAAAGGAGAAAGGAACGGGAAGAACCGAAAAAATGGGGAAAAAGACATGGGCCAACGGGTTTTTGGCGCATTTTTTCTTCTTTTTGGCAAAGGCGTTCCGAATCGGATCATGCCATGGAGCTTACCCTTTTTCCACGCTTTTATAAAACTGTCTTCAAGGGCGTTGAGGAAGTGGGAAAACCGGGAAGGAAAAAGGGGATGAAATAGTGCCGGAGGGCAAATTTTTCCGGTCCGCGTGAACCTCGCCAATCCGCCACGCAAACACAAACTCGTGGCCCCAGGAAGCTTCTCGTGGAACATTTCAAAAATCAACTGTTCACTTGGAGCTGAAGTTTGGATCATTACGAGGGATGATTGAAAAAATTTTTTCGCTAAAAATAGCCGTCAAAAGTCGAGTTTATGCGCTCCATGGCTAACTTTTTCAGGAATCGGAAAAATATCAATTTTTCCATTCTAACTCGAATCATAAAAAGGAATAAATGGGAAAAATAAATTTATTTTTTAAAAGACAGAAGTAAGAAGTCGAGTTTATGCGCTCCATGGCTAATTTTTTTCAATAATCAGGAGAATATCAACACTTCTTTTGATTTCAAGCTTGAATAATCACGAGAGAAAGAAAATAAATATTTTGAAAACGGCAGTAAAAAGTCGGGTTTTTTGCGCTCCATGGCTAATCCAAGTTGAATTTCTCAAAAAAAATACTTCAGAAGCTTCTCGTAGAAAATTTCAAAAAAATCAATTGTTTCCTTGAAACTCCAGTTCGAATCATTACGAAGGAAAAAAATCGGGAAAAAGAAATTCATTAGATAAAAAGTAAAAAAAGTCGAGTTTTTTTGCGCTCCATGGCTAATTAAAGCTAAAATGTACAAGTCTTCATAATTTCTTCAAGGAACCTCCCAAAGTTCTCTTGGAACTCCAGTTCGAATCATTGGACGAGGAAAAACTTGAGAAAATTTTTTGCTAGAGCCGTAAAAAGCCGAGATTCTGCGCTCCCCGGCTAATCAACGTTGATTTACAAGAAAAGACTTCGGAAGCTTTTTGGGAACAATTTTAAAAAACAACTTTTCCCTTTGAAAACAGGCTGTATAAGCCAGCGAAAAAAGTTCAAGTTGTTGCGCTCCACGGCTAATCTTACTGTAGTAAAAAAGAACTTTGAAAAAAGGATTGAGGAAAATTCGCTCCATGGAGGAACATATTTTGAATGATATTATCAGATTTCACAGCAATAAATTGTTAAAAACGACGTTGCGCAGAAATTTTGGCGAAAAAAGTTCAAAAATAATCAAACCTTTGAAAATTTGAAGAAAACGGCAGCTGTCGGCTGTTCCTCCATGTGTTTATAATTCAGGAGAAACGGCTTGGAACTCGAAAATTCTGCAATAATCCTGGAATCCTTGAAATAAACTGGAAAAATGAACAGATACGTGTGAATGAAGACATTACCGAGGCAATTTATTCAACTTTTACAGAATGAGGAAATGTCCGATTAAATAAGCGAAAGAGGGTTCAAAATAAATCTTATTATTCAAGGAAATACGCATTAAAATGACCGATATAAAAAGAACTGAAATTAATCGATAAAAATACATAAAATTCACAGAAATGCAGTGAAATTCGATCAAGCAATGGTAAATTCAAAAATAATTATGAAAAGTACAGGAAAATATGGAGAAAGCATGCAATTTGATATAGAAATTTGAAAATAAGGCAATTAGAATGGAAAATCATTTTTATCATCTTTAAAAAAATGCAGAAAAAGAAATGGGACCTGAGACGAAAATTCGGTAAGCTCCGCCCTGTCCCTTTAAACTCCAAAAACTTTTAAAACCTTTCAAGCCTACGAAAAATTCTTTCAAAATACCGACTCTAAAATTTTCCCATAACTTTTGAGGAGATTAAAGGCGCAGGACAGCCCTTTTTTGGAAATTCAGGTCCCGAAACGAAAATGTATGCGAAAAACAAAAAATCATCGTTGATTGCGACGTTCATGTTTGAAGGTGATGTGAAAGGTGGTTCCTCGGAACTTGAAAATGAACTTGGAATCTTCAGCCAACAGGATCACGCCGTTATTATGAAGCCAGGCTTCGAAATCGGACTTGTGGGAGACCCAGAACTTGCAGAAAATGTGGCATTCCGGCGCGAAACTCGCTTCCTGCAAAAAAGGTAAGTATAGATGATTCACTTCTGGCTTGAAAAATCGGCAAAAGGGTCCTGACACGATAATGCACAAGATAGTGCCTGGCTCGTAGAGAGCGCAGACAGGCCACGCCCCCTTAGCGTCCCATGCTAGCCGTGAATCCGCTATACTAGACCATTCAAAACTGCATCAAGGGTGAAGCGTGGGGGGTGCTCGAGGTCAAATGTAATCATGGAAAAAAACTTTGGGGAAAATATTTTTTTACACACATACTCGTTCAACTGTACCTTTTTCAAACTCATAAAAAAATTTTTAATTTATTAAAAAAATTGTCGAAAAAAAGAAGGAAAAGTGATGGCTCGCATTTGGCCTCGAGTTTCCCGCCGGTAAACCGCGTCGCACACGCAACGCTTCAATCAACCAATCATGCCTTTCAAGTCGGGAGGTCTTCTCTTCGAATAGTTCAATAACTTAAAGAGAACATTTTAAATGTCTACCCAAAAAATTGACGCGAACAAAACCCATCGTAATTTTTTTTTGAAGCAAGCAAAAACGGAAATTTCCCGATTTCTCTCAAGTCAAAGTTAAGAAAAACCTTCAAAAAGCGGATGAATTGGTTGGTGGAGTAATTGTTTTCGACGTAAGAAAGATCGAGTCGGTCGAGCTTCTGACCGATCACTATCAGAAGGATCAAGTCTTTGTCGTCCGTTGTCATATCAGGTAAGAAATCGGGAGTGGCTACTGGTCTCGGCTGAAAAAAGGAGAGGTCTTAAGTTTATGAAAAAGCAAAAACCTTTGAAAATCAAGAAAAAAAAACATTAGGAAGGGCTCTTCCACTAAATGTAACTGAAAAACGCGATATCGCGCCGAGGAAATCGCGATATCGCGCCAAGGGAAATGCAAGGTCAGAACTTCTGCGACGTCGCCAGTGTAGCGGCCTCACTTTCATTTCAGCCATTTGAAGGGTGCGGGAGAAACGCGATGTCGCGAAAAATTGCGAGATCCGCACGAAAACTCAGCGACATTTTTGCAATCTCGTCACCGCCCGCGACATCGCTTTCCCATCGCGCCAGACTACATCCCATATTATGCACTGCATCGCAGCGAGAGTAGCGCTATACCGCGTGCGACATCGCAAACTTCTCGCGCTATATCGCTCTCTAGAAAAATGTTTTTCAAATTGATTCATTCATTTCATCATAAAAGCCAAAAAAAATCAAAGAGATTTTTTAAAAATCTTAAACTTATTAGAGAGAGAAAGCGATATGGAAGCGAGACGTTGACGATATCGCAGCAAGAAGCCTTGATTTTATCGCCTGTGGCGCGCGCTCTTACGAAACCATACTGAACAGAAATAGACCTCGGGTCGAGGCGCGATGTCGTCGGCGACATCGTCAATGCCTTCATTCGGGGGTACAACCGCGAGCACTTGATCGACTTGTTCGACGAGTTGGTCATGCTCTTCATCGGCGCGTTTTTGGGTCTCGGCGAGTCTTTGGTTCAGGGCTTCTTCATCCAAAGAGCTTTGTTCGTAGTCGGTGGAGAAGTCGGTAATAATCGACACAATGCTGTCGTCTTCTTGGCTCAGGACGATATTTCTCCGGAATCTTTCTTCGAAGTCCATCCGGACGATGTCTGCGACTTGACGTCCGAACGTCGCGCGATTGTTCAGGATGGCAGAGCAAACATGAGGATTATGAATGTCGAATTGTGGTACTTTAGCGACAGGGACCGACAGAATCAGTCTGAAAATTGCCTTTTTTGGGGACAATAAAGGTCATTTTTCTCGGCTGGAAGCCGCTGCTCATGACCATTTTGAAAAACTTCGCATTTTTTTGATTTAGCTTAAGGAAGTCTTAAGGAAGTTCATTTTACTTTTCGGTTGGGGATTCTTTGAAAAATAAGTCAGAATGACCTTTGAAGTACCAAATGAAGGTCTTGAAAGTCTCAACCGACACAACTGCGAAGTTTTTTTTGGAAATAGGAGCTCAAAGCCCCCAAAGCAGGGATGCACGAGACACGATCTCGTCTTGAGGTTTTTCGAGATACATAAGCTTTTAAAGTTCTTGTCCACCGCCTAGTCGATTACATCAAACTAAAACAACAAAATAAATGATTTGATTGATTTAATTCGAGTAGTTTTTGCGCATTTTCAAGTGTTATTTTGAAACAAAAATTTGGATTTTTCCCATTTCGAATTGTCTCGATCTCGTCTTGAGATGAAAAAACCCCGTCTCGTGCATCCCTGGTTCCCACGTGACGTCATGGGATAGGCAGTTTAGAGAGCACGGACCACTTGGAGAGACCTGACTCGTTCAATTTAACAGAAAACGACAGGCCAGCGCACGAGTCTGGTCTCTCCAAGTTTGCCGTGCACTTTGAACGGATGCATGCGCGCTGGCGTGCCGTTTCTTTTTTTAGATGCGCACTGGCATGCCGTTTTTCCCCTGAGTGAACGCAAACATTTCTGCGCGAAGTGTACAGTCCGTTCAGATTTTTAATGTCAAGTGCAATGACGTCACTCAAAAACACTGTGGGGATGGCTCGCTCTCTGATTGGTTTATCGCACCATTAGGGGCGGAGCTTGAGCGACCACTTGACATTCAAAATCTGAACAGACTATAGTAGGGTAAATGTAGGGCGTAGTGCATACACATTACACATGACACTTAACGGAGAATTCGTCTAAAATTTTCCAAAAATTCCAAACTCACGAGACATGCTCAACCTTCTTCATGCAATGGATCACGTCGGAGAGTTTATTTAATCGAAATTCGCCCATCACGCGAACTTTTTTGAGATTTCTGAAATGGGGCAGAAATTCCATGAGTTCCATGCCGGTACCTTTTCCGCAGCAGTTCACGTTGAGCTGAAAGGGAAAATAATTTTTTTTTATGATAGGCATGTTGAAACTGTGACTTTAAATTATCGCTCTGTTCAATGTTTAGTTGTACTTTGAATTTTGAATAAATCCGAGTGAAAATAATATTTGAATATTTTTAGCCAGAGTACGAAAAAGCCATTAGGGTTTTCAGCTGAAAAAATCAAAAAAAAAAAATTCAATTGAGCTAATTTATTTTGAAGTTTCTTTTTCTGGTTATTGTCGTTTTTTTTCTATTTTTGCTCAAATGTCAGTCAAAAATTACTTAAATTGATAAAAAACGAACACTTTTTACGTTATTCAGCTTTTAAAAAAAGTGAATTATTCAAGTGAATTTATTTTTCAATTTTTCTCCTCCAATTTTTTTCTGCAATCTTATGTCAAAAAAATCACTCAAATCAATAAAAAAACGAACACTTTTTCAAATTGTTCAGCTAAAAAAATTATTCAAGCTAACTTGTTTTCAATTTTTTTCATTATGTTTTTTTCACTTCTGTTCGCCTTTTTCCCTGAAATATTCCGTCAAAAAAATCACTTATATTTATAAAAAAATCGAGCACAACTTACGTTATTCAGCTGTGTATGCCAACAAAAAAGCAAAATATTCAAATTCTTTTTTCTCTTTTTTCTCTGGAATCTCATGTAAAAAATCACTTGAATTAAAAAAAACGGACACTTTTTTACCTTATTAAGTTGAAGAATGAATTAGTCAAGCAATTTATTTTTAATTCTCTTTCATCACGTTATTCATAGTTTTCTCTGCCTTTTCGCTGAAGTTTCCTGTCAAAAATCGCTTCAATTGATAAAAAACAAACACTTCTTACGATAATCAGCTGAAAAAAGATTATTCAAGCTACTTAATTTTCAATTTTCTCCTCCAACTTTTCTTCAGTAATCTCACGTCAAAAATCACGTTAATAAATAAAAAACGAACACTTGTGACGTCCTTGTACCATATTTGAGGCACGCAATTGAACTCGAGATAGAGATTTCCCTGCATTACACTGGAAATGGTCAACTCTTGGGGCTGAAGCCAATCGACGAATTTTTCCAAATGAAAGTCGATCGGGACTTTTCTCTTGTTCTGAAGATTTTTCGTTTTTCTTCATTTGAAAAAGAAAAGAAACATCAATTAGACTTGGGTCGAGAACGTAGCAACTGCTGGAGCAGAAAGTGAACCGCAGGGAGACTTGTTCCACTTTTTTTCGTCTGAAACAAATTTTATAACTTTTAGGAAAAGGCTGGTACTCTTTCATTTATTGTGCGGGTTCAGAAGAAAGATATATTTACAACTTGAAAATTTTTATCATGGAATAAAATAAGCGAAGTCTTAATGGTGGCTAAAAAAGCGAGGTTCAAAAAAGGCTGCAAAAAGGGAGCAAAAAGGCAGCAAAAAGGGCCTTTTTTGTCAAGCCTTCCATCTTTTCTAGGATTTTGAAGGCTCAAGAAATGGTAGAAAAAGAAAGAGGCAGCAAAAATGGTGCAAAAGGGCCGAGAAAATGGCGCAAAAGGGAGCAAAAAAGGAACATTTCTATGGAGCCTTTCATTTATTAATAATTTTTCCACAGAAAAGTTATATAGTCCGTTCAGATTTTGAATGTCAAGTAGAATGACGTCATTCGAAAACGCTCTGTGGATGGCTCGCTCTCTGATTGGTTTATCGTCCCATCAGGGGCAGAGCTTGAGCGAGGACTTGACATTTAAAATATGAACAGACTATAGCCTGTTCTGATTTTCAATGTCAACCCGCAAACTCCGCCCCTAATAACGCTCTGTGGATGACTCGCTTTCTGATTGGTCAGATCTACGCATAAAGGGCGGAGATTGAGCGATGACTTGACATTATATATATATAGACAATACTATAGTTCATACGCGAAACGATTACGACGAGATTGGATGAGATCTCGCCATGATTTGCAGACCGTTTCCGCCTTCTGGATCCCTTCGAAATCCATCATCTGGAGCAATGATTCCAGAACATCCGCGTTGTTTATGTTCTCAACCATTTTTCCGATCACTGGAATGTTAAAATGATAAGGAAATTCCGAAGGAACTAACGAAATCAAAAAAAAAAGAACGAAAAAATTATTTTTCACGAGAAAGTGTATAGAAGCATTGCCAACTTCAACTAAACAAAATATTCCTGGAAAAAAAGGAATTTCGAGTGTATAAAGAGTATTTTTATTATTGAGGAGATATAATAATAAAAAAATAATATTATTCAATGTACTAAACTTCCATAATTTTTTTCCTATTAAAAGAAAAAAATTATCAGGCCTACTCCAGCAAAGTTGAAGAACGTTTGAACGATTAAAAAATGAAATTTAACGAATTTTTGTGAAATTGGAATTCTGAATATGAAAGTTTCAGGTCTCAAACGATTGTAACTATTAAAAAAATTCGTTTGATTCGAGTAACTTCAGGTGTTTTTTTCTGGAAACGAAAGAAAATAACCAAAAACTTCACCAAACCGAAGAAACAGGCTTTTTCAAATGTTAGATTTTTAAAAAAAGCCCTCGACATTTTTTGAAAAAGACATGTCTTCAAATAAACTGAAAAAAATAAACAGATACGTGGAAAAAAAGATCTAAAAATGACCATTTATTCAATTTTTAAAAAAATTGGAACACAAAAAAATAGGAAATAGGCTGACATAGCTCATTGGATAAGCAATTAGGGAGAAATAAAATATTCCAAAATGAGCAATTTTTAGGGCATGCGTAAAATTAGAAAGTACTTCAATGATGAAATAATCAAAATAGAGTGATTTAATCGATAAAAAAATACACGAATTTCACACAAAGTGCAGCAAATTTGATCATTTGGTAGTTGAAAATGAGTATGAAAAGTACAAGAATAATTCACAGGAAAAACAAAATGCAATTTCATGGAGGGAAATTCAAAATTGACATGGAAAATCATAATGAAAACGTCACAAAATACATGATTTTTGAGATAAACGGAAATAATTATTCTTGATTGGGAAGATTCTGCTTGAAAGTTAGGTAGAAGGCGGTCTCTCGGAACTCGAAGATGTACTTGAAAATGTCGTTTGTCGCGCGGAGGTCCGCCTGCATGCGGATTCTGCAGTTGTTCCGGATCCAGATGTCCATTCTGGCCTTGTGGGAAACCCAGAACTTGAGAACGATAGTGCATTCCGACGCGAAATCTGCTTCCTGCAAGAAGGAGACATCTTGGGAAGGGTATTAGTCTATTTTCATGTGTTTATGTTTTGTAAGTTTTCAGACGGCTGCTCTACAAAAATTCAAAAAAGACAGCAAGGAGCGAAGGGAAGTGAAATTTGGTAAAAGTTCTTTTTGGCAACAAAAAAACAGGATAGCCCCCTCTCTTGGGGAATATATGCTAATAGGTCTCGAAAAGATTTAACAGGAGCTGGCATGTTGATCAGAATCTTGAAAGTTGATCCCCCACGCTTCGCACTTTGCTCTGTGGGAGGGAGGGAGGGGGTTCTAGAATAAGAAAAAGCCCCCCATCAGCCGAAATTTGGCTTGATAGGGGGAGATTTTGTTCGGGGGCGGCTGTAAACTGGGGGCTTTCCTAATTTCTGCTTTCTTTCGAATACATTTTTTGTTTCGCGTGAAAATCATTTTCTCGCTGAAAAGCATAAGAAAACGAAGAATTTAAAACATTTTGTAACTTTTCTCTAGGGAAAGTTGAAGAAAAACCTGCAAAAATCGGATAAACTGGTTGGTGGAAAAAGCGTTGTCGAAGTCTCCAATATCCAGGCGCGTCAGTTTGTCGGACTTGATTATCAAGGTTCTCAGATCTTCGTCGCTTGCTGTTATAGTGGTTCTCCGCGGTTCTGGCTCTTGTACCGGTTCAGCCACCGGCTGAAAAAATGGGAAAAAGTTGAAATTAACTGAAAAAATATTATTTACTGTAAACTTTGACGTTACTTGAAACGGAAGATTTAAAGCGAAAAACTAAAATATGACGTGTATTATGCTTTTATAAAACTTTCAGGTTCTGTTTTGGGGAAAACTCCAGAATCGCCATCCGGTTACAGTACCCCACGTCCGAGCATGCCCCCCACCAAGGCAAATTTGGACTGGTGGGGGTAAAATCAAAGACTGGGGTGGCTATACCTTATTTTAGAAGCGAAGTTTTTTTTTCCTTCCTTAACCTCACTTTGAAAAGTTATAAATGTACCTCAGGTTGAGCCGGGAAATCGTGAACGACATCGACCACGACTGCATTCAAAGGATCTTGAAAAGCTGGTCCCGCGGCTTCATTCGCAGGTCCATTTGCAGCCTCTTCTGCGGCACCATTCGCAGCCCTCTCTGCCGCTTCAATCGCAGCTCTTTCCGCGGCTTCGTTCGCAGCCCTCTCTGCCGCTTCATTCGCAGCCCTCTCCGCCGCTTCAATCGCAGCTCTTTCCGCCGCTTCAATCGCAGCTCTTTCCGCCGCTTCAATCGCAGCCCTCTCCGCCGCTTCAATCACCTCTCTCTGTGCGGCTTCAATCGCAGCTCTCTCCGCAGCTTCTTCAATAGCTCTCCGCGCGACTTCGTCAGCAATTTCATTCGCAACTTGTTGCACGACTTCTTCATCTTCCTCATCTTCGTCATCACTCTCGCTACCACTATCTCCGTACGGTGCATACGCAAGTTCGGGCGGGACATAGAACAATTGCATCCCCGGGGCTTCGGGCGCAGGTTGGAGCACGATGATCTGAGGTTGGGCGGGCTGTTGGGCATCCTGGGGATCGTCCAGGAACACTTCGTCGTCCCAGATGTCCTCCTCGTCGGTCGAGACGATTTCCTCTTCTTCGCCCATCCCGCGGGCGACGTGTCTCTGGAGACGTTCTTCGAAGTCCATCCGGACGAGGTCTGCGATCTGACGACTTTCCTGTTGGTCGTTCCGCATCATGGCGGCGCGAATTTCCGGGTTTCGAACATCGAACGGCGGCAGATAGATGTTCGGAACCGACAAGAGCAACCTAAAAATTGTCTTTTTTTCACACCTATGAATGGGTATCTAAAAATAAGGTTGCGAAAACCGGTCAAGAAGAGAAATTCTATTTTTTTTTTTAAACTAGTATTTGAGGTGAAAACTTTTTTTGAGCTTGTAAAAAAGATCATCAAAAGGGAATTAAGATAATTGATCTTTCAGAGTTTGCGTTAAATCAGGCCTGAAACCAATTTTTCTCAAACACAAAAAATCTTATCTTCAAAATAAATTGCGCTGGTGGTCGCAGCTATAAGTGGACCGCGACGTTTTTTTTTTGGCGACGCCACGCCCATATTTTTCCGTAAAGTGTAGTGTGTCGAGTGCATGCACCTCGGCGCTCTCGCCAAGTTCAAAATATTTTTCGCGGAATCATAATTTTTATCTCAATTCCGGAAATTCAGTTATATTTCTCGCTCTCTAGTGGCTTAGGCCCCTTCTTATTGCAAAACCATAATTTCCGAAAAAAAAAATTATATACAAAACTCAAAACTTTATATAAAAACGAACTTTTTCCGTGATATATCGCTGAAATTTCAAGAAACTCTAACTACAAGTCTCAAAAACATGTTAATTTTTTTAAATTTCGATTTTTCAGATATCTGAATCATCAAAAACCCTGATTTGTTCCAAATGTTTCATTTTAATGATACGACTTTTTTTCGTGAACCATGAAATTCAGGCCCATTTTTGAGTTAAAATCGAATTTTTCTTTCTTAACAAGTCAGATTCTTTGCAGATAGTGACCGATCCAAAGAAATCTTTTAAAAAAAAACCTAACCTGGACCTTAAAAATAATTCCAAACTTCAAACTGAAAAATGACCTCCCTTAAGAAAGGGAGCCAAAATTTTGAACTCACGAGATATACTCAACGCTCTTCATGCAACTGAGGATAAACGCGAAATCGGTAAACCAAAATTGACCGATCACGTGGAATTTTTTGAGGTTTCTGAAACGCGGCAGGAAGTGGACGAGTTCGAGGCCGGTGCCTTTTCCGCAGCAGTTTACAAAGAGCTGAAAGAAAAAGTCTTTGTTTGAGAAAAATTAGAGAAAATTGATTAGAGATGATTAGAGGAAAAAAATTTTGAACAACTCGAAACTATACAGGCATCGAAAATTTCAAGAAAAAATAATCACTAGGATATGTTTCCCGAAAAAAACGAATTAATTGACCTATTAGTTTTCTTTTTTTTTATCATTTTTGCTTGAATTTCTAGTCTGATTATTAAAAAACGAACACTTTTAACGTCAATGAACCATATTCCGGGCATGGAAGTGAACTCAACGGTGAGATCGCCCTGCATGACGCTTTTTATCGCGAGTTCGTAGGGCTCCACCCAATCGACGAAATAATATAAATCATCGTTGATGGGAACTTTTCTTCTATTCTAAAAAATTTTGATTTTTTTTGGCAGAATTCAGGAGGAAACATCGACTATTAGCGGATCGATAACGAAGCAATCGTTGGAGAAGAAGGTGAACCGCATGGAGACTTGTTCGACTTTCAGTCGTCTGGAAACAAAATTATAGAAATAAGGAAAATACCCGCAAAAATTTGGAAAAAATCAAATATATACGCATAATGACGACGACGTCGTTGGATTAGATCTCGCCAGCGTCGGCAAACCGTTTCCGCCTCGTTTACCGTGTCGAAGTCCATCATTTGGAGCAGGGCCTCCAGGACATCCACATTATGAATGTCTAACATTGTCATTGTCCGCTGAATAGTTGAAATGACTAATTTATACACAGAAAGTAGAGCGATCGAGACAGAAGGAGAGAAAGTATAAGCGATTCCGCAAATGAGACAAAATTTCTATTCTTCACAAAGTGTTCTAAAAAACAAAAAAAAAACTGAAAAGCTCAGGAAATAAAAGACTTTGGGTTCGATTCAAATTCAAAATTAAAGCTAAAAGATTATAAACGCATTGAACCTGTAGGATTATTTAAAGAGTACTCAGGAGAGGAAAAAAAAACCTTAAGTGGGTTCTTCGATCCAGCGTTCACACAAATTGAAGCTTCAAACAATCATTCAAGGCGGTAAAAGTACAGAAAAACTTCAGATGATCCCAAAGTCAGCAAAATTTGAGGAACTGTCGTAAGGTTTGATGCATGCGGTTATGAAAGGGTGCATGCACTTGTATTTGAGCACCGTAACTCCAAAAATTTGAGGTTTCGATAACCTTCTCCGTTCTCTTCGCCAATATAACTTCAATTCAGGAAATTGAAATATTCCAAAAATTTTGGGTGAATTTTTTTGAAGATTTACGCTTTGTTAGGGAACACAACCATTTATTAACGATAAAAATAAGGTGATTGAATCGGGAAAATTAATTGATGTATATGCAGCATTGCTAGATTAGTATCACTAAGAATAACTGCCGAGATAAACGCGAGACACTGGCGGTACATTGACGAGCTCGCAAACATCTCGCTTTTTTTCTCGCGCCGGTCTCGCATTTTTCTGGGCGCGAGCTCGCATTTTTCTAGGCGCGAGCTCGCATTTCTCTCGCAATTTGAAAATTTCCGAAATGCGAGATAAATGCGAGATGGCGCCAAGAAAAATGCGAGATCGCGCCTAGAAAAAAAGCGAGATGTTTGCGAGCTCGTCAATGTACCGCCACCGACCTCGCGTTTATCTCGTCAGTTATTCTTAGTGATTACAAGGAAAATGGAAGATATTTTCAAAATATTTTACATGAAGAATAAGGCACAGAGACGTCCAAAACACATGGTTTTCAGTAAAATGCGTTGTGAATTAATTTTCTTCAAATCGAAAGACTGTAATTTTCGATTCAAAGACAAAATTTTCAGCGCATTTTGAAAACATAAAAAATACATGTAAAATTCGTTCATAAATGGATAAATTTTAGAAAACTGTAAATGGAGATCGTTTTTATACAACTTGGCAGTTTAGAAAAAAAAAATACAAGCTCGAAAATAATCATTGTTGAGCTCTCCGTACCCGGCCGAAAGTGAGGGAAAAGAGGGTTTCCCGGAAATCGAAGTGGTACATGGAATCCAGACCATCCGCGAGAAAGTCAGGCTGCTCACGAACCAAGCAGTTTTCTCGGATCCAGTCATGCAATTTGTACTTTTCCGACACCCAGTTCTTGCAGTGGATCTGGCATTTTGGTGCGAAATCCGTTTCCTGAAAGAAAATGGATGTTCTGTGAAGTTTTTTAGTGGTTATTTTAAGATTTCAATGTTTTAGCGGCCACTGGAGTAGTCGAATTAGTGGCCCCTAAAGTGGCTAAAGTTCAGTGGTCTCTTAAGAAGTTTAAGTGGTACTATAGATGATTCACGGCTGGCTTGAGCCATCTAAAAAAGGGTCCTGACACGATAATGCGCGAAATAGCGCCTGGCTCGTGGAGAGCGCAGACAGGACACGCCCCTTTAGCGTCCCAAGCTGGCCGTGAATCAGCTATACTAGACCAATAAAAACTGCAATAGTGGCTTCTCTAAAGGTGTTTTTAGTGGCCCCTTGAGTGAAGTCCTCGAAAAACTTCTTAAATGGCCATTACAGTTTTTCAAAGTTCTCCAAGGAAGTTGGGTCCGTTGCGGCCGCGAATTTGAAATTATAAGGAAATTTTGTGGGTAATATCTTCCCTAGTTCAAACTTTTCATTATTCAACGTTCAATATTTGATATTTGACTTTAAAAAAAACTTTTTGGAACCCAAAATAAATAAATAAAGCTCTGATCTTGCACATACCACTTCAACAAGAAAAAATTTCATAAGCTAGAATTTTTTGAAAATCTCTCAGAACTCTGTTTCAATCATCAGATTGATGTTCTAAAAGCCTCAAAATGAAAAAATCGCATTTTTTTCCTTTTAAAAAGAACTCACCAAAGTCAAAAAAAGCCACTAAAATCCTTAAAAAGGCCATTTGGGAAAATTTAGGCTTTCTAAAAAAACTCAAAATCTTGAAATTTCTAAAGTTTCCAAGATCTTCTTTTAACATTTTAAAACGAATTTTTCTCATATAAAACCAATTTTTTCTGGAAACCACGGAAAAAAATGGCTGTTTTTCTCAAGAAAGTCACATAAATTAGATCTCTAACTTAATTTTTTTATATCATTTAACTATTCTCGTAGCGGATTTTAAATAGAAACCTGCAAAAACCGGATAAACATGTTGGTGGAGTAGGTGTTCTCCGCGTTGTATAGTTCGAACCGTTGAAGTTTAACGGCTTTCCTTATGACCGTCTTCAAATCTTCGTCGGTAGCCACCATATTCGGTCCTCGGGGACGGTTTTCCGGTTGTTGCTCCTGTTGATCATACTGTATGTATTTATAAACAGCAAATCAATCAATAAGAAAAATCAAGGGTATACTTAAGCAGATCAAAAATTGCAGTTGAACATGAAACATAGACCTTCGTTCGTACCGATTTTCTCGCCTAACTCACGAAAATTCAAAAAATAAAAGACAGATATATTTTTTTTTCCATTCAAAAACAAAAATTTGGATTTTTCTTTGAAAAAGCAAAGAAACTGAGAAAAAAAAAGCGATATTTCAAAGTTGTTATTTTTTGGAAATTTTTACCACTCATTTTGAAGCTATTATTGTTCTGATTATTTTTTTCTTTTAAAAAAATAATATCTTCTTGAACTTTTCAAGTTCACTTTTATAACCGCAGAGTTTTGAAGAGGGAAAATATTTAATATGACCGAAATTGCTTTTTTTCAACTAAACATGTTCACTTTATGATTTGAAATGTTCATGTTCCCCTTCACAACTTTATACTGTTGTTTTTTTCTTGATTCCAACAAAAATGAGTCAAAAAAAATGAAGTAAAATGTACCCCGGGTTGTTCTGCGACTACTGGTTCATTCGCAGGCGGATTCGCGACTTCCATGACGTCTTCATTCGCAGGCGGATTCGCGACTTCCATGACGTCTTCATTCGCAGGCGGATTCGCGACTTCCATGACGTCTTCATTCGCAGGCGGATTCGCGACTTCCATGACGTCTTCATTCGCAGGCGGATTCGCGACTTGTTCTGCTACTACTGGCTCATTTGCGACTTCATTCGCGACTTCCATGGCGTCTGCGTTCGCAGGAAGATTCGCGACTGGTTCTGCGACTTCTTGGACGGCTTCATTCGCAGGCAGATTCGCGACTAGTTCTGCGACTAATGGCTCTTCTGCGACTTCTTGGATGGCTTCATTCGCGACTTCCATGGCGTCTTCATTCGCAGGCTGATTCGCGACTTCCTCTTGAATCGCCGGCGGATCCGCTACTGCCACGGCTTCTTCTATCGCAGGAAGATTCGCGAGTTGTTCTGCGGCTCCTGGTTCATTCGCGACTTCTTGGACGGCTTCATTCGCAGGCGGATTTGCGACTGGTTCTGCGGCTGCTGCTTCATTCGCAGGCGGGTTCGCGACTTCTTCATTCGCAGGCCGATTTTCGACTTGTTCAGCGACTCCTGGTTCATTCGCGAGGTCTAATTCGTTCACAGGAAGATTCGCGAGTGGCTCACCGCCTAGTGGTTCATTCGCGACTTCTGGGACGGCTTCATTCGCAGGTGGCTCTCCCTCACGCCTGATTCTGGCCCTTTGTTGGGCGGGGAGACGCCGGATATACGACGCGAGATGTTGTTCATATTCTCTCCGAACTGAATCAGCGACGCGACGCCCAGTTTGAGGTTGATTTCGCATGAGAGCGCGAATTTCGGGATCTCGAACATTCAACGGCTGCTGCAGGATGTCAGGATCCTCCACGGTAAGTCTGAAAACCGACTTTTTTTTTGAGTTCTCTGATGTCTAAATGATCGGTCCATTATCTGATTCAAAAAGAAGTGCACTGAAATGTGTTTTTTACATCTGACCAAGTTTTATTATCTGTGAATAGAAGGTGCTCTAAAATTACATTTTTCTCTCAATATTTTGGCCTGAAAGTAAAATTTACAAGTTTTTTTGACGAATATTCAACTTGATTTACATGAAACGAATATCTAAAGGTCATTTTCGAGAAAAACGACACGTATCCGCTGCAAAAATAAGAAAAATGCTCGAAAAATTTTATAAAAAACTAAGAAATTATGCATTACTAAGATTTAATTGGAAGAATTTCCCAGCCGTAAACTATAATTACGGTCATTTTTAGGGGATTTTAGGTAAATTTTTAAAACTTAATTATGAATAAAATCGAACTCACGAAAGGAATGTAATGGTTTTCATGTTGTCGAGGATAAAAGCGAGTGTTTCAACCCAAAAATGGCCCATCAAATCAATTTTCTTGAGTTTCGTGAAACGCGGAAGAAAATCGTCGAGTTCCGAGCCGGTTCCCTTTCCGCAGTAATTCATAATGAGCTGAAAATGTAGCTCTTTAGTGATCAAAAAAGCTTGAAATTGTTAAGGTACTAAATTATTTAATTTATCATCAAAAACCACGCATCAATGAATTTTAGAAGATTTCACGGCTGGCTTGAGCCAGAAGAAGAATGGGCTCTGGCACGAAAAGTGAAGACAGTGCCTGGTTGGTGGAGGGCGCAGACAGGCCACGCCTTTTGCGTCCTAAGCCAGCCGTGAATCTTCTATAAGGACTCGAAATTGAAATTATCACTCAAAACACTCAAAAAATCATTTTTGAAACCATTCAGAATAAAAAAAAGTTATATTCGAAGGCTGAAAAATGAATGGATCATCTTTTTTCGAACTCTTTTCATTTCTCAGTGAAAATTCCGTAAAGTACGAACACTTTCGGCGTCTGTGTACCATTCTCTAGGAAGGGAGTTGAACTCCACATGAAGGTCGCCTTGCATGCTGCTGTTCAGATACAACTCTCGGGGCTCAATACATTCGACTTTTTGATAAAAATCGTTGCCAAGGGGAAATATCTTGCAGAACTGGAAATTATCTGATCATCTATCGAACATTTTCAGAGAAAAACATCGCTGTCCTCTCCAAAAACGACATGGCCCTCGTCACCGGAAATGGTGAATGTCAGACCGGCTTCTCGGACTTTGTATCGTCTGAAAAAAGAAATTTTTTTAAACATAGTTTCAAAACTCCTGGCTGGGGTGTTTGAAGGAGCAGAGGCAATTTTACAAAGTCTCAAGGTTGTTTTTTTTTTGTTGCAAAGCATGGGCAAAAAGAAAAAATAAACACCCAAGCTATACTTCTCAAAAGGATTAATAAACTATATTTTCGCTATTAAAAAACAAATTAATTTAATCGAAACCGCACGCAAAAAAACGACGCCGCCGTTGGATGAAATCCTTCCACTTTCGACACACCACTTCCGCCTCTGTAATCGTATGGAAATCCATCATCTGGAGCAATGACTCCAGGATATCCAAGTTATGTATGTATTCTACCATTTTATCGGCTGCTGAAATATTTTGAAGAATTAAAAAAAAATGAAATTAAAAAAACAGACGAGAGAATTTTTCAAAAAACTCAAGGCAGAAAAGTTCTGGAAAAAAAACCTTCATAAAGCAAAATCGAAACAGATTACATTTTTTCAATGATCAAACAAATACGACAGAAGAAACAGAAAGAAAGTTGGTATCTTGCGCGTTGATGCCGTGTTCCAAGTAATTTTGAAGATTCAAAATAGCCGTCAGCGGGAAAAGATAGCTAAATTTTGGAGAGTTATAGTCTATGAGATAATTAAAGATAATTTCGTTTTTCGCGGAAATTACTTTGAACATGGCGTGAATTATCTGCGTTGATTGTTGGGCCCGATAAGATTGAAAAGTGCGCCACCGTTGCAAATCAAAGCGCGCGCAAGCTGCTCATCATTTTTTACATGATTTTTCGAGTCGTCAACTTTTCCGAGGGTTTTCTCCTTTCTTTTTTCGTATAACACCATTTTCTTGTGTTGTTTCTCATTTCCATTTGAAAACTGGATTTCAAAGCTGTTCCTTGTGAGTAAATTGTTTTTGATTTCAGCTCAACACTATGGTGCTTCTTGAAAAGTTTGACTTCGATTAAAGACTATATTTTCGTTGAAAATTCTCTAGTACTCACTAAAGCGCGAGTCTCTCTGGAACTTCACGAAGGCCTTTCCTGCGTTCGAATAGTGTTTTGCAAGAAAGTCAGTTTCATTTATTTTTTCTTTCATTTTTTGTGAGGTGAATTTCGAATCTCGATATTTTTTATTTATTCCAATTCCCGACGTGGTATGGAGATTAAACATTAGTATAAATCAACAATCAGCTTGAATATTTCTTCTCCTTGTGGTCGATCTTCATCGAAGATGATGTGGAAAACAGTTCCTCGCAACTCGAAAAAGTATCTAGCGCCCTTCTCTTCAATGTCCGTCATCAGGCGGAGTCTGCAGTGATACCGAATCCAGAAGTCGAGTTTGGCCTTCTCGGAAGGCCAGAACTTGCAGAAAATATGGCATTCCGATGCGAAACTTGCTTCCTGCAAATGGACCGAGATCGTAAAGTCTCCAAATTGTATCTTTCAGCCTCAAAAACGTTTTTTTTAGAGCTCCCAGAGCTTCAAAATTATAATTTTTTTAGCCTTGAAAAATTTTTTTAAGCTCTATTTTAGAAAAAAACTAGCATTTTGAGACTTCCATTATAGTCAATGTTTCCCGACTTGAAAGGCGAGGGATGCGGGGCAAGGGGCGGGACGCGTAGCGTGTGCGTTCGCGGTTCTTGGCACGAGTTCAATTCAATTGCCGCCGACTATTTAAAAAGCTCGGCAACCGCTCTTTTTCAATGTTTTCTACTACTTTTTGATGCACACATGAACATAATCAATAAATAATTGAAAAAGGAATGAAACGAGCAAAAAAAAGGGCTTTTCAAAGGGTCGATGGCGGTTGAATTGAACATGTGCCAAGGACCGCAAACACACCTCGCCTTTCAAGTCGGGAAACATTGACTATATCTTCTTCTAGTAAGAGTTTGTTTTCGAAGGTAAGTACTTTATTTAAAACTCTAACTTTATTATTTTCATTTAACTGTTCTCTTTGTTAACTTCAAAACAAAACCTGCAAGAAGCGGATGAACATGGCGGCGGAGTAGGTGTTGTCCGTTTGGAAGAGTTCGAATCGTTCGAGTTTGTCGGACTTGGCGATCAAATTCTCCAAATCTTTGTCGTCAGCTACCATGTTCTCTACTTTACGGAACGGTTGCCGCATCTTCAGACGCGCAGGCTGAAAAATAAGGCTTTTTAATGAAGAAAAGCTCACTCAGAAGATTTTTAGAGGCTTTTTTTCTGTAATTTTCAAAGTTTTCTGCTTCATATCATTAAATTTTGAGTTCTTACTATTTTTAGTTAACAATTTAAAGAAATTGTAAACAGATTTCAAGCTTTTCTAGTTTAATTTGAGTGCGTATTGTTTTGAGCACAAAGGGCAATAGGATATAACTGAAATTTCATCAGAGCTAATAAAAATGGCTGGAAAAAGTTTCTCAAAAATTTCCAAGTAAAAAAACTTTTTATCGCAAATAAGGTTGCCTAACAATCTCTTGAACGCTCTTTCAAAATAATTTTTTTGGTCTTCAGATGGGAAAAAAAAACAAAAAATCTACCTCGCAGTCTTTTCCGAATTCCGCCTCTGCTTGATTCGCAGGTTTTTTGGCGACTTCGGGCTCATTCTGCCCGTTTTTTGCCCGTCTTTTGGCTGCGAGGAAAGCCCGGCGCCGTTGCTTATAATCCCAACGGACTTGGTATGCGACTTGACGCTCATATACTGGTTGATTTTTCAAGATCGCGCGAATTTTCCGATCGTGAATGTCCAAAAGCTTCAATGGATGTGCGGATGCATCCATGTTCAAACTGAAAATGATGAATAAGTTTCTTTATGGGTTTATTATTAAAGGTAGAAGGAAATAAAACTGCTGAGACGGCAAATTTTCAAGGGAAATCGTGTCTGGCCTCTCAGTTTAAGCTTCTAAATTCCGAAATATGAGGAATTTTGGCCTTCTTTCAAAGTATCCACAACCGGAAAACATGATTCCTGAGGCGTTTTTGGGTTGTTAATTGAAAATATCGGTTCAAACTCACGAAAGACATTGAACGGTCTTCAATCTTTTGAGCATGTCTCGAAAAAAAAACTCCCGAAAATAGCCCTTCACAGTTATGCTCTTCAAGTTCTTGAAACGCGGAAGGAAGTATAGGAGCTCGACGCGGAGGGCTTTTCCGCAACACTGGATGTTTAGCTGAAAAGTTGATCTTTGAACAATGAAGGATGATTGGCAAAGGGGAAGCGTCGCTGCGACGCGGTTTTTGGCGGGAAATTTGATTTTTAATGAGGCTGACAAGATTCACACGAACAAAAGCATAAAAATGATAAAAAAAAAATAATTTCTCTCCAAATGTTTTCTCATTCTTGCCAATCTCACCTTTCAAGTCCGTTGAACATTTTCATCCTGTAGCTTTTTTTTGAGATCTACAAAAAGCTCAACGCCTGATTTGTGATATTTATTCGGTTTATTTTGTCCCTAACTTTTCTCTCAAAAAAAAAAAACGAACTTTTCTGACATCCGTGTACCAGGCTTGTGGAATGCAATTGAATTCTTTGACAAGATCGAACTGCATGATACTGTGGACGTTCAACTCTTCAGGCCCGATCCATTTGACTCGTTTCACAAAACCGCCGTCAATCAGAGTGGTCTTGCACGGCTGGAAAACCTCTGACTATATATTTGAGAGAAAAAAAACCTCTTCCTCGTCTTCGAAAACGAAATGACACTCGTCGGTGTAGAGACCAAAGTCCAATGTGGCTTTGGTGGCTTTTTTTCGTCTGAAAATGGAAAATCTCATGCTGAGAGAAATATTCCGGTTGAAAATTCGAAAATGAACAAAGCTCTTAGAGCTGTTATACTGATTCGAAAAGATAAAATTACATTTTTCTGGTTTTGAAAAATTTATTAAACTTTTTCAACCAAAGAATGAAAAGTTGATAAAAAGAAATATAGGGTTTAAATTAAAGTATTGTAGCTGAATCACGGCTGGCTCGAGCCAACTAACCGTGAATCGAATATAACCCGTTCACGGCTGACTTGGGACAGCGAGCGGACGGTTCAATTTTCGCGGCGAAGGTAGATCATGGCGACTATCCATGCGCCTTCCATAAAAGTCCCATTTTATGACTTATTCGTTTTTCTCTCATAATTCGTCAGTTTTAAGAAAATCTAAAGACAATGAGATTAATGTAAACAAAAAATAATTTCATTAGAAACAGAAATAATTCACCAAATAAGGCTCTTATTAAAGGCGCATGTAAGGCCACCATCGCCGCGCAAGTTGAACCGCCCGTTCGCTGTCCCAAGCCAGCCGTGAACGGGCTCTAAAGCCTTTGGTTTTTTTGAGACAGAAAAAAAAAGCAACAAAAGCTTTTTTTTTTCTCGGTAATCGGGCAAATATGCTCGGTTGCGAAGATTTTCAGAGGCTAAATGTACTTCGATCGAAAAAAACAAGTTATTAACGTTTGATACTCAGTGGATTTTATCCGTAGCGCGCACTAAATTTTTTTTTAAATTCAGAAACTTTGACGCCTCGCTCAACTTCCCTCACCCCATTAGGAATGCTGTGAGGGATCACTTAAAAGTGCTGACGCTAATAGAAGGGTCACTATAAATGACCCTTTTCGCATAAAGAGAAGGTCCGAGCAGCACTCTTAAGTGACCACTAGAATAACCCAGAAACGTCTAGAGCACTTCCTGTTTTTGTTACCGAGGTCCGAGTAAATAGGCTTTCTCTCACCAAGCTCACGAAATCGATTTCAAAAAAGGGCTTACGCGAAACAATCGCGACGTCGTGTGATTAAATCTCTCCAGGATTTGCAAACTATTTCCGCCTCGTGGATCTTTTCGAAATCCATCATCTGGAACAGGGATTGCAGGACCTTCGGGTCATCCAGGTATTCTACCATTTTATTGATCCCTGGAATGTTAAAATTACAAAATAACATTGAAAGTATGAGCGAATCATGGTAATAGAAAAAAAAAGTCTTCAGAAAATTGCACAATAGTCCAAAAAAGGTCCTAGAACACAAATATGCATGAAAGTCAATGGATATACGTCATAGAGGTTAGAAAAAATGATAAAAAAGGGAAAATATTGAACTATTTTAATGAAGACATGAAGAATATAGACATTAGAACGCAAATCGAATTTTAAAAATTAAAAATGATTCAAACAGAAAAAATTGGCCAGAATACTCCTTGACGTACTGGATGGAGATCCAAAAAGTCTTAATCGGCAATTTTTTCTAATTGAGTCTGCAAAGATGATCTTTCAAGCCTTTGGAGAGATCAAAATTTTGACCATTGGATTTGTATTCACATTTTGAAAGATCAAAATTCGACATTTCATTTAAAATAATCTCTCATTATAAATGACATGTTGGTCTGTAGAAAAAAAAACGATAAGTCACATTTTTCGACATAACTTTCATTCAACCAAAATGAAGCATTTCCTATTTTAGTTTTTCTCTATGGACAACACACTTCGCTATTTTTCGGATTTTCGCTTCTTTTTTTTTCCTCATGAAAACTTCCTATTCCATGAATTTTCCATGAAACCTTCCACTGGTGAAAAATCATGATTACACACTGATTTCGATTGAGATAGCGATATTTTGTGTTCTCTTTATTATTGGTGTGTTTTTTTGTTTGACGAAATGTTTTTTTTCAGAGGAGAAACTCAATTTGAAGCAGATATCCAGTTATTTCTCACAAAATGCGAGTCTATTGACACGTCCACAAAATCGCGTGCACGGCTACTGTAAACAGTTGCCCGTACACCGATCTAAAGCATTTTTCAAAAGGAAATGGCGGGAAACTAAAATTCGCGATATTCTTATGAATTAGTCATATGTGTGATTTTTTGAGTTTTTTGAGTTGAGTCCTGACCGGCAAAGCTTTCTAGTTTCTAAAAAAGTCTCGAAATGACAAATTTCGACGGTTTCTTGGTCTCTTTCTGGATAATTAGGTGGTTGAGGCTTTCAGGATGTTCATATGGTGCATAAATGAGTATTATGATGAAGATTAGGTAATTACCCGAGTACAAAAAAGACGATTTTTTGGAGCAAAAACGGCTCGGGATATTAATGTCGGAGTGCCCGAATAACGCGGCAATCGATGTGAAAGGCGTGTGCCGCAGGCTCCGCCCTTTTCTGGCGCTGCGGCAGGCTCAGGTGTTATTTGTGTTGTGGTGGAGGGATGCCACAGGCACTTTGTTTTCTAGGCGAAACGACAAAGATCTCATATAGCTGATTCACGGCTGGCTTGAGCCATCGAAAAATGGGTCCTGTCACGAAAAGTGAAGACAGTGCCTGGTTCGTGGAGAGCGCAGACAGGCCACGCCCCCTTAGCGTCTCAAGCTAGCCGTTAATCAGCTATACAAGAAGAAGGGACCCGTCAGGGATCACTTGAGGGATCACGCTACTAAACTGGTTCCTAGAAATGCCCAGAAACGTCCGAAAGAATTAGCCTCTCTATGCTATTTATTCATTGTACGATTACGAATTCCGACTGAATTTGAAAATGAAATCCGTTAGCTATTTTTGTGGATGACAAGTGATTTTTTTTTTTTTGATAAAAAACATGTGAATTCTCGAATCTCGCAATTATTTATTCATATTAATTTCGCACTTTTGAAGGGCATATTAAAAATCAATATAAATCAACGATCAAAAAAAATTTTTCTTCTCCGTCTGGTCGATCTTCATCGAAAGTGAGGTAGAAGACGGTTTCTCGGTACTCGAAGATGTACTTAGCGCCCTTGACTTCGATGTCTGCTAGCTGACGGATTTTGCAGTGATATCGAATCCAGGAGTCGAGATTATCTTTACCGTAGACCCAGAACTTGCAGAAAATATGGCATTCCGATGCAAAACTGGCTTCCTGCAAGTGCACAGAAATCGTATATAAGCATACATCTTCAAAATGCGGAATGGGGCTTGACCCTCAATATAAATTTGCTACTGTTTAAATAATCAATTTCTCCTGACAAGGAAGGTCATTATACTTCAAAGTTGGGAATTTTCTGAAAATTGGTCATAATGGTCCTTGATGTACCAGAAGGGTTATCTGAAGGTCTCAACCTGCACAACTTTCTCTTTTTTGAGAAAATACGTCATCCAGTCAAAGTAAACCCTCAAAATCCATAAAAAAATAGACCATTTCTAGGATTTGAGACCTTATTTCTCGAAAACTAGGAATTTGTGCAGGTTGAGACTTTCAGGATCTTCATCTGGTACGTCAAGGAGTGTTCTGGCCCGTAAAATGACCTCCCTTTTGAGTAGAAAGCGGAAAAAAAAATTCAAATACGTTTTTTCAACTTGATTTTCTAATTTAAAGAACAAGAGAAACTTATCAACCAGAAACATACAAGAAAAATTGACGTCCAAATTAGATTTTCTCTCCAAAGACGCGACCGAAATAAGTCACTACTTTATACGTGAGTTTTTGAAGCGTCTCGAAACGAAAGATCAAAAAGAATATTGAAATTACGGTAGATTTCATTTACTGGTCTCTTTGAAAAAAAGGCGTTTTGAAAGAGTTGAATTTTTACAAAGTGTTTAACACATCCGATCAATTTTTAATTGAAAAACGCACAGTTTTCCAGTTTTTTCGAAAAAGAATTTTTCAAAGTCTCCAAATTTTATCTTATAGCTTCAAAAAACGTTTTCTTTGCTTTCAACTCTATGGCCTTTTTTCTGAAGAAAGTTACACGAATTCGATCTCTTACTACATATTTCCAATGATTTTCTCAGTCTTGTTGCGGATTTAAAAAAATAACCCGCAAGAAGCAAATGAACATGAAGTAGGAGTAATGGTTGTCCGTTTGGAAGAGTTCGAATCGATCAAGTTTGTCGGACTTGGCGATCAATTTCATCAAATCGTCGTCGTAAGCTACCATGTTCTCTACTTTACGGAGCGGGTTTCGCTTCTTCAGACCCGCCGGCTGAAAAATAAGGCTTTTTAATCAAGAAAAGTATTCTAGAGTCTTTTTTTAAACCTTTCTACTTTGTATCATTATTTTTTTCATAATTCGTACTATTCTTACTGGTCCATAAGTTGAGACATGTCGAAAAAATGGATATTTGACAAAAGGAGAACATTTTTTGGCTCTTCTGGTAGAATTTTCTTCCGGATTCCTTTCAGCTCAAAGTGCAATAGGATAAAAATTAAAAAAATGTCTACTAGAACAAGAATTTTTTTAGAAAAAAAGTTTCAGTTCAAATTTCCATAAAATCCCCTGCATACAGTTTCATAGCTTTTTTTTGATCCCAGATGAAAAAAAAAAACTGAAAAATCTACCTCGCAATCTTTTCCGAAATCAACCTCTCGATTCAAAGGGTGTGAGGCGATATCGCCCTCATCCTGCCCGCCTTTAGCCCGTTTTTCGGCCGCGAGAAAAGCCCGGCGTCGACGCTTGTGATCCCAACGAATTTGGTATGCCACTTGACGGCCATATTTGGGTTCGTTTTCCAAGATCGCGCAAACCAGGGGATCGTGAATATCCAAAAGGTTCAGTGGATGTGCGGACGCATCCATGTTTAATCTGAAAATCGGCTTTTGAGAATAATCTTGATGGATACGTTTCTTCATAGGTACAAATTCAAAGAGAACTACGAGCCCGAATATCGATTAAAACTCACGAAATACATTCAACGGTCTTCATGTTACTGAGGATACTTCCAAGTGTCTTGCTCTGGAAATATCCCTTCACATTCAAGCTCTTCAAGTTCTTGAAACGCGGAAAGAAATCCATGAGCTCGGTCCGGAAGGCTTTCCCGCAACACTGGATATTTAGCTGAAAAATTGATCTCGATTAAAACAAAAAAAATGTTCATAGATCTTTTATGAACAAAAATATGAGGGAAAACGGTTTCATTTTATGTATTTTCTACCTTAACAGTGTTAAGAACAGCCTTGTTCATTTTATTGAATAGGAAATCGGTCAAATATAGTCTAGTATGGTCAGCGGAGACGGTGGAAACCGAATGAGCTGCGGGTGTGGCAACAAATGCCGGTTTTAGAGTTTTGGACGCATACACACCGACGCACACTCGCACTATCGCTCTCAGGAAAATTAAAAATTTCGCTTATTTGTGAGTTTTTTCAACAAGTTTTTTTAAAGAACTTTTTCGAACTCTCATATGTTGATAGTTATTTTATTTTAGTTCTGGGTTCAACTGCTAGAAACGCTTCAAAACCCTTTCCCGTGAAGAGGCGGGGCTTTGCGCTCTCTACGTTTGCTCATGTTGTATTATTTTCCCCATTTTATACTGATTTTTGATATTTTTTCCGTTTCCTAACTAACTTTTCTGTCCAACTTTTGAAAACAAACGAACTTTTTTGACGTCCGTGTACCAGCCTTCGGGAATGCAATTGAACTCTTTGGTGAGATCGAACTGCATGATGCTGTGAATGTTCAACTCATCGGGCCCGATCCAATTGACTCGTTTCAAAAAATCGTCGTCAATCGGAGTTGTTTTGCAAGACTGAAAAATCTGTATCTTATCAGAAAATTCAAGGAAGAAAAAACCTCATCTTCGCCTTCGAAAACAACGTGGCACTCATCGGTGTAGATACCGAATTCCAGAGTGGCTTTGCTAGCTTTTTTTCGTCTGAAAAAGGAAAATTCATGTTGGATTCTGAAGTTAAAAGCAGGTCTTCAGGTAGAGTCACCTAGCTCTTTTTCTGACTGGGTTCTCGGTACGCAAACCGGCGGCACGAGCACTTAAGTGGTTACTTGAAACGCTCAGAAACATCCGGAGCACGTTCGGTTTAAGTAAGCAAAAGCTGAGAAGAAAACGAAATTTTTTTTTTCATAGTTAATCGGGCTCGATAAGCGAAGATTTTCAGAGGCTTTTTTCAACCAAACTAATGAAATCGGATTCCAAAAACGGCTTACGCGTAACAATGACGATTTCTTCCGATTAAATCTTGCCAGGATCTGCAGACCGTTTCCGCTTTGTGGATCATTTCGAAACTCATCATCTGGAACAGGGATTGCAGAACGTTCGTGTCATCTACGTTTTCTGACATTTTTTCGATTCCTGGAATTTTAAAATCAAAAAATAACATTGAAAGTGTGAGCGATTTTTGGTAATAAAAAAATGAAGTCTTCAGGAAGTTGTACAATAGTCCAAACAAGGTCCTAGAACCCAAATATGCATGCAAATCAATGGAAATACGTCATCGAGGTTGAAAAATGTTGATAAAAAGGAAAAATGTTGAAAGATTTGAATCAAAGCATGAAGAACATAGACATTAGAACGCAAATCGAATTTTAAAAATTAAAAATGATTCAAACAGAAAAAAAGGGCCGGAATACTCCTTGATCCTAAAAAGTCTCAACCGGCAATAGTTTCTAGCTTCTGACAAAACACTTTCAAGTTTCGAAATGGCATATAGTCAATGTTTCCCGACTTGAAAGGCGAGGGAGGCAGGGCAGGGGGCGAGACGCGTAGCGTGTGCGTTCGCGGTTCTTGGCACGAGTTCAATTCAACCGCCATCGACTCTTTGAAAATTCCGTTTTTCACTCTTTTCATCCCTTTTTCAATTATTTATTGATTATGTTTATGTGTTCATTAACAAATAGTAGAAAACATTGAAAAAGAGCGGTTGCCGAGCTTTTTAAATAGTCGGCGGCAATTGAATTGAACTCGTGCCAAGAACCGCGAACGCACACGCTACGCGTCCCGCCCCTTGCCCCGCCTCCCTCGCCTTTCAAGTCGGGAAACATTGACTATATTTCGACGGTTTCTTTGGCTTTGAGGTCTCTTTTCTGGACAATTAGGTGGTTGAGAATTCCAGAATGTTTATATGGTACATTAATGAGTATTATAACAAATAATTTGATATTTATTCACGGGCATAACAAACTAACATGTACAAGATGGTTTTGAATAAGAACAAATTGGCAATAAATAAAAGACAATTGAGGTCCTCAAGAGCCAGTGAAGAAAGATGGTGAGGTAAAAATGAGAAATGAAGAAAAAAGATCAGGGAAATTCCCGAGTACAGAAAAGACGACCTTTTTGGAGCACAAGGCAGGGGATATTAATGTGGGGGTGCTCTAGTAACGCGGCGTTCGATGGTAAGGGCTGCAGGCTCCGCCCCCTTTCTGGCACTGTGACAAGACGCTCGTTGACCTGACCCAGGCAGGTGCTATACATATGTGTTGTAGTGGAGGCGTGGCACAAGCGCTCCGATTTCGCATGCTGAGCAGGGTAACCCCGCCGTGCTAACACGGGGTCTCCGCGGGTGCCCCCGTATTAAACCCGTATAAGCCCAGCTGATAGAACTTTTGGCACTTTTTAGCCCAACTGAGACCCCGCTTTAGCCCAGCTGGGTTACCTATTTTTCTTACACCCGTTGTTCCCCCGTTTTAGCCCAACTGAGACTAAAATAACCTCAGAAACACGGGTTTAATACGGGTACACCCGTTGAGACACCTGCTCAGCATGCGAGATGTCGTGTATAGGCCATTCCGCGCCAGCACGTTTTTCTTTCCGCCAAAAGGCCAGGTCAAATTTAACCAACTTTCGCTTCAAGACCATTGTTTCTTGCCGTTATAAAAGCAGAAATTCGATCTAATTTGGTATACGGTCTTTTTGGCGGGAAAAAAAAACGTGACAAGCTGGCGCGGAATAGGCTATATATGTGGGCGAAACGGCAAAGATCCCACACAGGGGCTCGTCAAGGTTTCCTGAGCTTCTAAAAAAGTTAAAAAAAATTCTTTGCTTGGGAACTCCCGAGTGTTGGTCCTTATAATGGTTCAGGGTCTGGTCATTAAGCCCTTGAAGTTTGAGTGGTTCCTATAGAGGTCTTTGGTTTTTGAAAATGAAACAAAAAGCTTATTAAGTTTAGGCTCTCTTTTTCATCCAAAAAAAGGTAAATTTTTTGAGTTTTGTGCTTTTTTTGGTGTTCATAACAGTAATCGACTAGTATGCCCCTATAGGGACCACTTTTCAAGCCTTAGCGGCCCCTATAGGGGTTGGTAAGGTGGTCCATAGAAAATACTCCTATAGGGACTTTTTTTCGAGTTCCTAAATATGTTGCCTTTTTCGTCCATTTGAAGAAGCAGAGATCGTAAAATCGTCTACTACTATCAAAAAAAGGACTTGATGATCTTCTCGCCGTACGTGATCAACGACAGCTTCGGGAACCGAGTCTCCAATAATTCCCTGATTCAGCGGAGAATCTTCTCTGAAGACTGAATAAATGAATATCAGCCCATATCGACTCATTCTGCTGTCCCAGAAAAAAAAAATGCTGAACACTTTAAACTATGAGTGGCACTAGAACTGAGATGTAGAATCAAGTGAAAAAAATCGATTTTTGACAATAATTTTTTTCCTCAAACTAATGTTCAAACTCACGTTAACTTTTTTAATGTGATAATTTTTCGGGGTTTGCTGCATTTATTTCTCTGAAAAAGCCATTTTCTGTACACTTTATTCATTTGGAAAAAAGAAACGAAAGAAAAACTCAATGCGTTTTCACAAAATCATCTGTTTTCGGGCAGAAACCACAAAAAAAGACTGGGCAAAGTTCAAAAGAACCTAAGAAGGAGCTTTCAGAAAAGAGCTTTCTAAAATTGTTCTGAGCAACTCTTTAGGGTTTTTTCGAAGGTGCTGGAAAATAAGAAAGCAAAAAAGGAATAAGATGCAGAGAAAATTATTTTATACGAGGTTGACAAAAGTTTTTTTGGATTATAAAATATAGCTTCTCTTCTCGAAAACTTTTGAACTTTGCCTTGATATAAGCAGATTCATTTGATAAAATGGGATATTCTACGGGTCTTGGGAGGGTTTCTCAGACGTCGCCGTACAAGGAGCGGTTGAAAGCGTGACTTTGCATCAGAGGAGAAGGACCGGCCAGAGTGTGTTGTCGCGGGAATCGACGCGGTTGTCTTCAATTTCAATTTCAAACTTGTCAATAAATGGAAAACATTTTAGTGGCCACTATTTTGACGATTTAGTGGCCACTATAGTAGTCAAATTAGCGACCACTCAAGGGGTTGAAAATTAGTGGCCACTATAGAGGTCTAAATTTCACTACAAGACCACTAAAAATTGTAGTGACCACTTTAGGGATCAATGGATCAACATAACTGGTCCAATCTGTTTTTTTAAAGTTATCAGAGTTACTAGAAGGAAAACTGGATGAAAAACTACTGAAGTGGCCACTAAACAGAGAACCTCTATAGTGGCCACTAAAATGGAAAATAGTGGCCACTATAGAGGGGGGTTTAGTGGTCCTTTTAGTGTCCTCTCCAAGCAGTCCTTCCTTGGCTAGCCTCTATAGTGGCTACTGAAAATTCTCCCAGAAATTCCACTTTCCAATCTCTTCATTTTCCCAACATCGGGATAGTGTGGCAATGTTGAAGAAAGGAAGAACAGAATAGGTGGATTTACTCGGCGAAATTCTAGTGATCGCTTAAGAGGTTCCTGAAGGGCTACATTGGTAACGCGAAACGGACGTGCTCCGAACGTTTCTGGGCAATTCTAGGGATTACTTAAGGGTTCTGACGCTACTAAAGTGGTCACTATAAATGCCCCGACATGTTCGAGTAGAGAAAACATGTCTTTGAGCCTCAGTGGCCACTATAGTAGTTTTACTGATCTTGTAGTACCTCTTATACTTCTAAAGAGACCACTAATTTAACTACTTAAGTGGCCACTAAAGAATGAGAAGCCTAGAATAGCCTCTAAAAATTTTCCAGTAATCTCACAAATCTAAAATCAAAAATCTCTGAAGCCGCCCTTTTTTCAGGTTGGAAAAAAACAGCCAGAACGTTCTTTTTATGTACTGATATTGATGAGTTTGTATTTTTATTTCGAAAAATTGGCTTTCACGGAGATTTAGCTTGTTACAAAGAAATTCAGCACAAATTTTGGTTCTCAAAATCGGTCAAAAGATTCTTTGACCCACTAAATTGAGATATTCTAACTGTAACAATATCAATCTACCGTGCCATTGTGTGAAAAAATGAATTTTTTTTTTCGAATTGATGGAGACTACAGTAAGCATGGAAGGTCTTACTGTAAGTGCTGATGAGAGGAATGGTCGACGGTTTGGCCGCGTTGAAGTCGTCTTGAATCAACCGATTCGTAGGCCGGATCCACGCGGCTCCATTCCCGGAACAATGAGTCCGTCTTGGCGTCGACACTTCAAATGTTCATTTTTTAAGAAGATTTAAAAAAAATCAGGTTTTTTTCGAATGAACTTGTGTTTTTTTAAAGTATTCAAAAAAATTATTTTTTTCTAAAAAAATCTTTTATCAAGCTTTCCTGCAAGGAAATAATTATTCCTGGATTATTGAAAAAAAATGAGGCATATTTTTCATTTACCCAAAACATCGTGGCCGCACTTGGAATGGCTCAAAGCTTTTTTAAACTCAGCAAAATTCTAACGATGTGTAGCGCCCTTGGGCGCAAGTCGTTTAAGGTCGGTCGCAACAAAAAATGGCGCCTTACAACGTCTACGCATTTCATTTATAATTAAAAAAAGGTTTATGAAAATTTTAAAAGATTGAGCTAAATTGAAATTCTGAAAAAAACAGTTTTTCTCTGAAAATAGTGCAAAAAGTTTGAAATAGCTACAATCAACTTGAACTAAATTTTTTTCTGAAGAACCAAACCCACATAATCTTTCATTTTCAATCTTTTTACATGTCTTTTTTTCTAAAAAAAGCTTGAAAAAAACCCAATTTTTGAACCCTGAACTAACCAATAATCCCTCTGAAAAGCCGTCGTCGGGTCGAAATCGTTGTTCTGATCGCCGTGGTTCATCAATGACAACCTTCTTTGCTCTGGAAAATTCATTTTCAGTACTTTTCGACCTTCAAAAAGCGCCACCAAGTTCGCTCCGAGTACTGTCGAAGCTACTGGCGACTGGAGGTCCACTGGAATCTGTGGAATTATTCGAATCCATGCTGGAAATGGCGGCCGTTGATAGGAATTGTCTTTGGAGCAGGAGGGATCTGGGAAAATGTCTTTTTTTGGGATAAAAATAAAGTTTCAAGGAGGGTCATGACAAAAAAAATGGTCTTTAGGGAAATTTATTAAAAAAAGGCAGGAAGAAAGTGAGCGAGAGATCAACGGTCCGCTGAAGAGACGCCAGAGAAATAAAGATTCTCTCGTTGTCTGGCGTTTCTTCAGAGCCAACAGTCTCTCCTTTTGTCAATTCCCTAAAAAAAAAAAAGGAGCGAAAAATGAAAAATTTTGAGATTTTTCGATTGAGATGTGCAGCGCCAAAAGAGACACAGAGAAAAAAAATAAATTTCTCTCGTCGCCTGGCGTCTCTTCAAAAATTGTTGATCTGTCACTCTGATATTGATTTTCGAAAGTCTTGCAGAGGGAATAAAAGATCACAGGCGTCTCGGAGAGACCAGAGAAAAAGGATTTCTCTCGCTGTCTGGCGTCTCTTTCAGCCGCCGTTGATCTCTCCCTCGCTCATTCACCTTTCAATATTTTTTTGCAACTGCCAAACTTTCTTATTTTTTCACTCAATAAATGATCTGTGTGTAAAGGACAAATTCATTCCAAATTTTCGACCAAAAAAGGGTAAAAATATCGCCTAAGGGATCACTAAAGGGTTTTTTTCACGCGACCCACAAATTGCGACTTTTCCTGTCGCTCTGGTGATTTCTAACCGCCGCCGAGAGCAAATCAGGGAAGTTGCGCTCTTTCGAGACTCTCGGGTTACGGTATTTTCGGCGGCGACTGTCGACGGTGGAGGATTTTTCCGCATTTGGAATGGATGGCAGTTGGCGGCGTTTTCTAGTTTTTGACTGTTTTCGGAAAAAAAAAATCAGGGGTTACTGTAGGGGATTCTGAAAATTTTCTTTTCTGTTCGTTTCAAGACCTTTTTTGCGGAATAATTCAATTTTTTCGGAATTCACCCTGAAACCAGTACTTGATAGAGTTCAAATAGTACAAAAAAATATTTTTCGCTTCAAGATATTCGTCAGGAATATTCCAATGCTCTTTAATTTTTTTCCGTTAATGAAATTTTTAGCTATAATACTAGGAGAGCTTCAAATTTCATCAAAAAAAAAGTTTCGAAACCAATTTTTTTGCCTTTTTTCATGGCTCAACTCAGTTTTGAATGAACTATAGAAAAAAAATTTTTTTTTCCATCGTTCTCACTTGTATTGAAGGCGTTTTCCCTTGGCGTTGGCTGCTGGAGATCGTTCTGCGGTTTCAGTCGTCGCCTGACTGTCCGTATTCGAATCGAACGACGTGGACACTGAGGAAGGCTCTGAGATACCTGGAAAAAGAATATCATCGAAAAATGCATAATGTTAAACCTAAAGCCTGGAGTTGCTCAAGTTGTCCCTTGGCCGCCCACAACGTTTGGCAGGCCGTTGAAACGTCGTCCTGAAAGCCGTAGATTTTTTTGGTGGATTTCTTAGTTTTCAATCAAACAAATTGGAAATTTCTCATGGAAGTCCGAACGTTCCACCTTTTCCTTTAACTGCTCGGGCAAAGTCGGAATGGTGGATAATGGCTGCTCAAAGGGAAAGGCTCGAAAAAGGACGCAGAAAGGCAGCAAAAAGGCAGCAAAGAGAGTCCCTTTATCAAGCCTTCCACATTTCTGAGATTTCAAAGGCTCGAGAACTGATGGAGAATGGGAAAGGCAACAAAAAAGGTGCATAAGGGCTGAGAAAATGGAGCAAAAAGGCAGCAAAAAGGGAGCCTTCGCCTTAAAAGGAAAATTTCTATGGAGCCTCCCAGCAGCCTTCATGGGCTCTCGGAGGGTCTTTCCGACTTTTCCTTTTACTGAGAGATTTCAAGCCAAAGGACCTGACAAGGTAGGTCATTTTACTTTGCGGTTGGGAATTCCCTGGAAATCTGTCAGAAAACTCCTTAGAGTACCAAAAAAGGTACTTCCTAGTTTTTGAGAAACGAGGGCTCAAAGTCGAAGAAAACTACAAAAAGGCCATTTTTGGGGCTTCGAGCCCTTATTTCTGGAAAAATAGTAAATTTTTCAGATTGAGACTTTCTAAAACATAAATTGGTACTTCAAGGGAAATTGTGACAAGTTTTCAGAAATTCTTAATTGCAAGGTAAATTGACCTCCCTTGTAAAGGAAAAAGAGAGCTTGAAAAAAGATTAGTGCCTTTTCTCCATTTTTATCCAATTTTTTGAAGTTAGCCGTGGAGCGAAATTTCTCCTTTGGAATTTTTTTAAACCTGATTGCTTTTTTTAACGATGTTTTAGTGGCCACTATAGTAGTCAAATTAGTGGCCACTTAGGAGGTTAAAAATTAGCGGCCACTATAGGTCTAGGGGGGTCTAAGGTCTAAGTGCTACTACTAGACGACAAAAAATTTTAGTGGCCACTTTAGGGGTCAATGGATCAACATAACTGTCCAATCTGTTTTTTTTTTAAATTATCAAAGTTACTGGAAGGAATGCTGAATGAAAAACTACTGAAGCGGCCACTGAAAATTTCCCAGGGTTTTCTGGTTGTTTAAATGTTCTTTATGGCGTATAGCAACCTTTTTTTTCAATACTCCAATTTTAAACTCCCCTTCGATCGCAATTTTTAAGTTTAATGAAAGATTTTTTTAGCTTTACTCTTTTTTTCAAGGTGCCTCGAATTTTTTCTCAATTTTTTTTTGTAGCTTCTAAACTATTAATTCGTTATGAATTTCATAATTTCCCTAAAAAATTGACTCACCGGATCTTCTCTCCTCCGATCAGACATCGTGTAAGACCTGTGTGCAAGGTTCCTTCTCCGATCTTCGGCAACTCGGTCGTCGAACGATTTCGCCTTGAAATGATCATTAAAAAATTTTTTCAATTCAAAAACCTGTCTCGGAACATTCCTGCGTAAATTATCAGTTCTTCCTATAGATTCTACCGGCAGGGGAATCGGTGGCTCGTTTATAATTGGTACTGGAACCGGCAAGGGCATCGGCATCATTGGAAAAAGGTCCTCGGTCTGAAATTGAGAAATATTAAAAAATAAATACAGGAAAGTGATACCTCATTACGATAATAATGATAAGAAGCGTGATTCATAGGCGGAGAAGGGCATTCCGGGTTCCAGGACCTGGAATGGGCATGCCCGCGGTCGTAGATCCGTCGAGTTTGGTCGGGGAGTGGCGAAGAGACCTGAAAATTATTTTATATTGAAAAAGAGAAAGTTTCGAAAACTTATGCATTTTTACTGAAAGCACTAAGAAAATCAATGAATGTTTAACATCTTCAAACCTTAATCATTAAATAGAAATTGACTGTCAAGAGAAATAAGAAAAACAATTAAAGGAAAAAAGAAAAAAAATTTTTTTCCAAAACTCTCGTCAGATATGACGCCTGTGCACACACTCGACGGTATTTCACATACTGACCAAATTTTTATTCTTGCGTTTTATTTTTTCGGTTTCGAGGAGCGTATTTATTTGTAAAGTTTTACAAAAGCTACTCGTTTATATACGTATATTAACGAGGCGAAAATTCGCGTGAGAACGATATCCAGAACTTCGAAAATGAAAGTGGTTTGGAAATTTTTTCTCTTACTTTAGCGATCTTCGAAAGTGATCTCTAACAGTTTTACAATATTCTAATCAACCATGTTCTTTTGAATGAACCTGTGTGAACATTTTCAGCTATCAAAATAAAAGATTGACCGACATACCACAAAGATTTAGTCTTTCGCGCGGAACACCAAAAATTTGACAAAATTTCATAAAATTCAGTTTAAAAATTATTTTCGCCGATAAAGATTTTTTTAAACAATTTGAGGTTGTAGAAAAACACATTCTGCACAGAAATCAAGCAGAAAGACGTCAAATACATGGCATAACGAATAAAAACTTGCGAATTCTGATTTTTCGTTTTTTCACAACTAACGCGGCAAACGGCCAAGGAGCGAAATGGTACAACCAATTAATATGAAGTCAAAGCCGACGAACGATATGAACACAAAAGTAACATTCAGAAACAAACATGTAAAAAGAAATAAGGTTTTGAATTCCCAATACAAAACTAAACCACGCCCAGTTTTCTGCAATTGAGGCGCGGTACTTTCTGCCTCATTTTTCTCTACTGCGAGGTTCCCTTTTGGAACGCCGTGATACTCTTCAGGCACATCCATAATTAAGCTGAGAAAGTGTGCCAATAGAAATTCAAGCCGCAAATTTGGCTCATGGTTTTTTCTCAATTTTTTTTTTCTTTTCTTCTTGCATTTTTACGTTCTAGTTGCGTCTTTCTCCACTATAGTTCTCTCTTATGTTAAAAAAAAAAACGAGAAATCAATTTTACCTGTTTTCTCGGAGCAACAGCGTAGGTAATCGCGTTGCTTCGTGAAAAATGGCTCGTTCTTCTCTGGCGATCAGCGTTTGGAGGATTTTGCTGTAATCATCAAATAAGAATGATTGATTTTTAATTGAAACCTTAAATCTAAGTTAAAAGTTGTTTTTTTTTTCAATGTTTGAAGGCTGATCAGATTCAAAAACCCTGCGTCATAAATATGGACACACTTTTGTGAACTTATTTTTTTTTTTTTTGATTCTCGAAGTTGGGTCACACTTTTTTTTAATTAGTTAGATGTTTTTAAAAATATGATCGAGCCAGCGGTTAAAAAAAGTCACTTCTTTTGAAAATAAAAAATTCGGATTGCGTCATAATTATTGTAACATTTTTGTGTTTTTGTGATTTTGTCAAAACGGCTCATTTCACTTCAACTTCACGTTCTTTTTGAATTAAATAGACTTTTTGCTTGATATTGATTTGAAAATTCGACTTTTTTACCTTTCGTGTTCCGGTTTTTACTGATTTTAGTCAACACACAGTTTTCAATCCCGGACACATAATTTTTCTCTTATCATCACTTTTCTCTCTGTGTAATATCCACTCCGTAACACGATTTCCTTAATCGCAACTTCGAACCGAGAAATTCTTCGACGATCCATCAAAACCTAGGAGAAAAAAGCCGAGCGGCATCACTTTCCCCTCCAAAAAAAGACTTTTTTCTCATTTCCCATCAATTTCCTGCCTTTTTTTTCGTGTTCATCTGACCCAGATCCACCCTCAAAATGGCGGAATCAGTCCATTCAAGCTCAGTTCGTAAGGTTTCATGTCTAAAAGGCCAAAAACCAAGGAAAGAATCGAGTTAATACCGTCATCTCGGTAAATATTGGGGTCCCAGTTTTGGGCGTATAAAATGCGGAACGGCTTATCGTTTTGGGGAATTTCCAGTGATGGAAGGGCGAGCCACGGGGTGATTATTGATAGGAGGGAGAATTTGGAGACGTAAAAAGGTAACTATGCTTTGTTCGGTGACGATTCACGTGATTTTTCATGGAATTTGTTTAGATAAAGCTCAAAATATGACATTTTTATCAAAAAAAAAAGTTTTAAAGGGAATATTTCGATTTTTTTTTGCTTCTTTAACTTCAAATGAACAATTTTTTGTTGTTTGAAAGTTTATTAAAACACTTTTTATTGGCTTTTGGTTTGTCAAGTTAGGTCAATTTTTGAAGGAATTTTTCGAATTTTTTTAGGTTCCATTTTTTTAGAAGTTTAAATTCTGATTTTTTGAAATGGTGCTTATTTTTCAGTATTATCTGAAAGTTGAATATCTGAGTTTCCTAATAATCTTAATTTTTATCAAAAATCGGTCCATTTTTGAAGAAAGTTATGAATTTTTTTCAAAATTCAAAGAAAAAAAGCTTAGATTTCAGTGGATGAAGCTCAATTTTTTTCGATTTTTTTGTAAAAATAATTTAAAAAGTTTTTTTAGCTTTCAGTGATGAAATTATTAAACTATGTCATTTTTTTAAGACATGTTCCGATTTTTTTGAGTTTTTTAATCAAAATTTTCAAAGTTATAATGAAAAAATCCTGGTTTTTTGGCTTTATCAATTGAAATAATGAGTTAAAAAAATGAATGAACTATAATGCCGTGTTCAATTTGATTCCGCGAAACGCACAATTATCTCTGACTCTCCAAAATTTAGTGATCTTTTCCTTTCTCTGACGGGTATTTTGCATTTCGCGTAATCAAATTGAACACGGCATAAGAAGACAATTTCAACATTGAGTTTTGTAGTTTCTTCACTTGGTACGCGACGCGGCTCGCGTCGCGGTCGGCTTATCGAAACGATAACTTGTCGCATATTTGATATGTGATGTGCTGATACAAATATTGACACAATGTGACGCCTTTTTTGTGGTGAATCAACAAGAATGATGAAAAAAATGGTGGTCTTGGAGAAGTTTCTAGCCGAAATAATGACATTTCATTACTCTATTTATATGAACTCTTTTGATGTCGATTTGAAAAGATAAAACGATTATTTCAGTGAATAATCGGATTGCGGTGGTGTTACGGGTGTACGTTTTGGCCACTGAATTCGTGATCATCAAAACATGAAAGTTTGGGTCTTTCCGATGGACCATTTCGATGAATTTTTTCAGTTTGATGAATTTCTAAATTTTCAGAAGCCTAAGTAAGCTTTATCTCTTTAAAGTGGAAACTATAGATTTTCTTGTTTTTTTCGAGTTTTTGGCTGTTTTTCTTAATGCTTAATTGACTGTGGGTAAATTGAAGCTGATACCTCAGAAATAGCTTTTTTTTTCAATTTTTAAAGATTTGAAAAAAAAAACTAGATATTCTCTAGGCTCCAACTTTGGGAAAGCGAACTCGGCCCGCGGACCTTTCTGAGCATTTCTAGTGATCACTTTAGTGGCGTAATAACTCTTAAGTGATCCCTACAGACCTAGGTAACGCAAAACAATCGTTCTATGGCTTTTTGAGCATCTCTAGTGGTCACTTTAGTGGAATCAGGACCCTTGAGTGATCCCTACAGACCTCGGTAACGCAAATCGATCCCGCCTGGACGTTTCTGAGCCTTTCTAGTGACCACTTTAGTGGCGTAATAACTCTTAAGTGATCCCTACAGACCTCGGTAACGCAATACAATCGTTCTATGGCTTTTTGAGCATCTCTAGTGGTCACTTTAGTGGAATCAGGACCCTTGAGTGATCCCTACAGGCCTCGGTAATGCAAAGCAATCGTGTCCCAGACTTTTTGAGCATTTCTAGTGACCATTTCAGTGACGTCATAATTCTCAAGTGGTCCCTACAGGCCTTGGTAACGCAATGCGATCGCGTCCCGGCTTTTTGAGCATTTTTAGTGATCACTTTAGTGGAATCAGGACCCTTGAGTGATCCCTATAGATCTTGCTAATGACCGGACGTTTCTGAGCATTTCTAGTGACCCCTCTAGTGGCGTCATAGCCCTTAAGTGGTCCCTACAGACCTCGGTAACGCAAAGCAATCGTGCCATGGCTTTTTGAGCATCTCTAGTAGCCACTTTAGGGGAGTCCGAACTCTTAAGTGATCCCTAAAGACCTCGGTAACGCAAAGCAATCATGTCATGATTTTTTGAGCATCTCTAGTGGCCACTTCAGGGGAGTCCGAACTCTTAAGTGATCCCTAAAATCGCTCAGGAACTGAGATCCAAGAAGCATTCTTCTAGCGAACTTTGTCCATGGAGCACACATTCACGTGTTTTTTGTTGGAAATTATCGATGGCTCCACTTTCTCAGCAACCAATTGTTTTTTGGAGTGAACTTTATAGGGCCAACTGCACGGTATATCATCAAAACACTTTGATTGCGGACCTGAGAATCGATCGAAACACTTTGCGCGTTATCAAAAGGCGTCTGATAGCAGATTCCAGACGGAGCTGTGTGCAAGGAACGGAGCCCCCGGGGTCTTGCGGTTTTTCGTACACCCCCGAGGCATTACAGCCGTCTAGAACATGTCGCAAAACCCTTTTTCCGTCCCCTTTTTTCTCTTTTTTCGCTTCTCGATCCGATGGAGCAGCTGCGAGGCAGGTGCCGCGTTTCGAGAACGACGATGTTTAAAAAGCTGAAAGCCGTGGGGCGATAATGATCGGGAAAAAAAAGCCACGGTTTACGAGCCGTTTATAACTATTTGGTTTTCCGAGGAGCTTGAACGGAGTTTTTCTGGAAGTTATGAGCAGGTGCTGGATTTCTAAATGGTTCTTTTTGTGTTTTAAGAGCGGAGGAGCTTTGAAATGATTTTTTTTTTTTTTTTTGAAGAAGGGCAGAGAACAACTTGAAGTTATGAGTCTAGAAGTTTGAAAGAATATTATTTCTGTATTTTTATGAATCTGAAGATTTTTTTCCTGCAAGTTATGAGCAGGTGCTGGGCTTCGAAATGACTCTTTTTGTGTTTTAAAGAGCGAAGGAGCTTCGAAATTATTTTTTAAGAGGGGATGAGAAAGTTAACAAGAGTCCAGAAGTTTGAAAAATATTATTTCTGCATTTTTTTGAACCTGAGGACTTTTTTCTGGGAGTTATGAGCGGGTGCTGGATTTCTAAATGGCTCTTTTTGTGTTTTTAAAAGCGGAGAAGCTTTAAAATGATTTTTTTTAAAGAGGGGAAGAGATAGTTAACTTAGAGCTAAGAGTCTAGAAGTTTAAAAAAATATTATTTTTTTGTATTTTTTTATGAACCTGGAGACTTTTTTCTGCAGGTTATGAACAGGTGCTGCACTTTGAAATGGCTCTTTTTGTGTGTTTAAGAAAGAAGGGGCTTGTAAATGATTTTTTTAAAGAGGGGAAGAGAAT